CGGCACTACTACATCAGGTGCTTCAGCAACCACCATTTCTGGTACAGGACCCAGACGCACCAGTTCCGCTCGGTGATCGCGCGATGGGCGGCAAAATGGACAAGCCACATGGTCACCGACCCGCCAGCGCTGCTCCAATCGAACCAAGAAGAAGACGGAAACGGTGCTGCTGACAGACCGACTGCAGCTTGCGAGAGAGATGATGGGCAGCGTGCCATGCTGTCACTTGGGCCCTCAAATGAAGCTGCGGCGATTGACACTGACGCTGGCTCAGATCAGGCGGTGATTGGGGAGCAGAGCATCGAGCTGAGGACAAAGGTCAGGAGAGGAAGAAAGGAAAGAAGGACGAACCGATGTAGATCGATCAAGACGAGCCCCGTTCCTCTTTTGTCGTGGGTGGCAGATGGACCTCTGGCGCGTGATGGATTGCTTCGTCGAGGGTGAACACAGGACAGGTGAGGCGGATAGCTGCAGCGAGGGAAGAAAGTGACAGCGCACAAACCGTCCCATGCACCCATTCGATCTTGTGACATCCCAGGCCGTTTCTCAGCTGCATTGTGGATCCACCCTGGCGATGGCAACAAGAGGCTCATCCCTCCGCCCCCCGGCACCTTCCCACCCACAAGGGGCCCGCAAAACAGGTGTGCCAAGCGGCCAAGAGTCGACAGGTCTGCGGCAGCAAGGGACGATGGCAGGAGGTATGGAGGCTGGCGGTGCGTCCGGTGGCTGCCTATCGTGGAGATATCTGTCAAAGCTCATTTTGACGACCCGACGGACCCCTTTAGAGAGGCGGCCGAGCCACTGTCGTCTCGGCTGGCGATCCGTCTGTCGCCATCGATGGAGTACTTCGGCATCACTGTGCAAGAAGACGATCACGAGGGCCTGCTGGGAGAGGATGCAGACGGGGAGGGTGATGGTGGCGGGGGCAGCGACATCGAGATTGACAGCGACGTGCTTCTTCTGACGGATGCTGCGCTGGAAATTGAAAGCCCCCCGGATGTGCCTGCTGAGAGAGAGCAGTCAGTGGCAGACGGGCGGGGAGAGCCGGTGGCCGACGGGCAACAACAACAAGGCCAAGAGAGGGCGATGGTGATTGGCGCCAGTGATGTTGATGTCCCGGAGGAGAGAAAGGGCCCTCCACACACACTCT